CTTTGCATCATCCTACATTTTAAATTTCATGCGGCAGGTTTCTTATCCAGTGTAATACTTCTTTGGCGAAATGAAGCAACTCCAATGATGGAACACAGCAATAACTTTTATTTAACACTCAAAATGGCGACATACAAACAAAAAAAGAAAACATATTCTAACATTTAAAAATAAATTACATTCTTCGTGCGAGAGTCGCACGAGGCACTCGAGTTTGGTTTCAAATATTGCCATTCACAAATACCTTAATGTTCATCTATTTAAATTATTTAAACTACAAGATTTTAATATTATTTAAATCTGTTACACCAGTTATATCCTATATAATAAGTAAAAGAAAGGAATTTAACAAAAGTTTTGATTGAATTCTTTCTCATATAATGGATGAAATCTGAAATATATCATTAATTGGATTAAATGCTATATTGTAGGAAATCCACTGGCCTCGTTGATGCACCCCATTACAGAAATGACAGTTCTGGGAAAAAGATCATTAATTGCTTTAGTCCCAAATCAAATGGCTTCCTACACATATCTACGCTTAGAAGACGGTAACGGAAACGGTCAGCGATAAGAAGAGGAGATATTATAAGTTTTTCTTAGGTTATGGGATTGGAATGAAGAAGTCTATGATAGCTGTCTTATGTATAAGAAAGAACTTCTGGAGAAACTGCTGGAGCTGCTGTTAATAGAAACCGTATTTATTTAACTATTTGTCTTCTCCAACGATTGAGGAAAAAATATGGAAACAAGGAAGAAAAACGATGAAAAACAAGGAAGTAGAAACTATTTCATTTGAAAACAACATTTAAATAATACTAAAAACGACGATAATATTAATACAATTTAAGGTGCTACTTTGGTAGACGGTTGCACGGATGTTGGCGATTTTTTGGCAATTTTCCTTTGGCGAGTAATACAACTTATGGTAAACCCATTGCTGGATAAGTTATTTATGGTAACCGATACTTGTTGTCATTTTATTTGAAAAATAATGCGTTTATTGTGCAATAAATTCCGTGTTTAAAATATTATTTATGGCTTTTAAATATTAAAAATCAATTTAATTTTGCATTTTTATTTGAAATAAAAATTTTATTGTTTATCATATTTTATGAAATTTTATGTTGTGGATGATGTAATCAATGACGTCACCCTTACTTTAAAAGTAATTCGTTTTAATATGTATAAATTTAATCTAATGTTTTAACATTATTTATGGCTCTTAAATATTAAAATACAATTTAATTTTGCATTTTTTAAAAAATGATTTTATTATGTATGAATTTTTAAATAATTTTAATTCTAGCCGTGATGTAATAAGCTCTCTGATTGGTTATAGAATATTTGTGCATTAACGAGGTGTAATCAGCTCCCTGATTGGTTACTGACATTTGTGCATTTTAAATTTAATTTATCTTCGAATTCCTTCAAAGATGTCTTCAAAGATGTTATCTAAATTATGATTCTGATTTTTTATTGTGGTACTTATCAATAAAGAACAGGTTAAACACTAAAAAAAATGTAAGTACATTTTTCTTTATTTTATAATTGTATACTTCAATTTTTGTTAAAAAAATTAATACACTATTTTCAGAAATTGCTGAATAATTATTGTCCATATGTTTTAATGTTAATTATTTCTATATAGCGTATTTTAAAGTATTTGAATTAATAATATTCTAATTCTTTTAAATGTTGGTATGATGGTTTTTAATTCGATATTCAATTTCAGTAATATTTTAATCTAATTAAACGTTGGCTCAATGTTTTATAGCGGTGTGTTTATTCTCTTCTTTGCTATACGAAAGTAATATAACCTTATTTAGTATTTTATACTCATAGTAAATGTATTTATTTACACTTGCCTGCCATCTTAAAAAACGACATTTTCAACAAAAATTAATCCATTACTTTTAACGATATTTATTTATTTATTTTTTAAGTTTGGAATACTTTACTATGCTTAAAAACAGCGTTTTTCAAGATGGCTGACGTTTGTAAAAATCGCGCCAACAATTCGGCCAACGTAAATCGCCAAAAATCCGTGCAACCGTCTAGCAAAGTAACACCCAATTTAAAACACTATTTCACAAATTCGCTATTGCATTATAACCAAAAATTGTATCATCGAATATATTTATGATTTTCGGATTCAGGAATACCATATTATTAATATTATCGTTTGTTGATTAAATCCTTTGTCACTGTCTAGTAAAGAATTATAGCATTCCTGCATCCGTGTTTTTGCGGTTTGAATGTTTAGTACATTTATCTGGAAACTGGAAGATTCTGTAACTTGAATTCCGCCTAGAGTGAAGTTAATTTTTCCTGTTTCCTGTTTCGAAAATCCTAATAGTTTCCACAGTGGCGCCCGAAGTATAATGTGGTGGATAACTTGCCCCCACTTGGATCTGAACTTAGTCAATTAGGCGTCGTGCCTTTTCACATTTTTTCTCTTTAACCGAAGAAGAAAGTAAGAAATCTCACATTCTTCCAAATGTACTGTTGCTGTGTAAGTGATTATCACATTCAGTTAGCTATTGGGATATCCATGATTCGAATCTCGGTGACAAGCTGGATTTTTTTAAAATATTTCTTGTTCCAATGACACATGATTGTTTCGACATGCCAAATTCAAACCCTAACATTTTAGGCTTTTTCATGTTCCAAAACTACTTTCTTTAAGAGATGGCTCTGCATTCATTTCCTTTTAGCTTCGCGCCTTAATTTCCCTGTAAATTTATATACTGCTCCTTCCAGCAGTTTTCCTGCTCCTTACAGTATTCAAGAGATGATAAAATTAAATTTGTGTAGTAGCGGTAGTATGGTAACAACTTTCAACTTTTACGTATCGCATTCTTAAAATGTATGACTTCAGTTATAAATTATTTTAAACGCATAAACCTTATAAACGCTTATAAAACGCATAAACCGTGCTTTACTGTGTAGTGGCCTATTTATTGCATGAGAAATAATTATTTTTTATTTCATATATTTGTTCACGTGTTTAATTATTTTATAAAATTAACTTTAATATTTTGTTAATATTCATATTTATATTTCTTTTATGCTGAATGGCAACAAGTAGTTCATATTTATATTTAAATTTCTTTATGCTGAATGGCAACTAGTTCTAGTTCTGATTCATGATTGCGAGGTTTTGGTTTCAAAACGATGCTCGTACCGTCGCATTTCGATAGCTGGAAAATAAAATGCAATAAACTTAGCTATTTGTTTATAATTCAATGCTGTTCCTAATCATAAATTAATTTTAAACATTAGTAGCCAAGGCTACAACTGTAAGTGAAAATATCTGCCTATTTGTTTTGTTTTACAAATTTTCTTATCGGAACTGCTAATTTCTTTGTCATGAGTATTTCTGATCACTTTCTTTAAATATTTCAGGGTACTTACGTATTAACGCAACCAGGCCAAAATTCGCATAAATCGCCAAATTTGGCGACCCTACTTACTGCAACCCTACGTGTTTAAACGAAAGTTTATTTGTAAAAAAAAATAATAATAACACTGGGCGTTTACTACCACAGCAATGGGTTTTCGGCGGAATTTGCCGAGAAAAGAAAGAGACTTTTTTTGGTTACTGTACCTAACAGAAGCGCCGTTACCCTCATGGAAAAAATTTGCGAAAATATCACGGAAGGAAGCATCATTTATTCGGATTGCTGGAAAGGATAAATAAAGTGAGTTCGAAAATGCTGGATTTCTGCATGGAACTGTTAATCAAATATAACTTTGTGGATCCGGCGTTCACACACAACATGTAGAGCGCATGTGGGGCTCAGCCAAATGGCGCAACAAAAACAGAGAGGAACAACAGCCGTCATCATCTTCATCTACCTTATCGAATTTATATGGCGCCGAGCTCAAGCTGTTAATGGCGAACGGTTTTCAATCAGTGCTAAAAGCAATAGCCAAAAGATTTCCGCCGAAAAATAATTCTGCAACTTATTCAAATTCGAAACCGGAAGGGTTTAATTGCTATTTTATATTTAAAAAACAAAATAATATAAAAAACTGTATTAAAAATTATCTGTAATTAATAAATGTACATTTTCTTTCTATTCATACTTTTTTACTCAAACTTACAAATCGCGCCAACTTGGTTGCAATAATACGTAAGTACCTATTTCAGCAGTAAGCATTCACATAATTGGGATGGTTATATCGTTTCCTGTCATCTGTACAGATGTTATACTACCCCAAGCGCAGAAATTTTCCCACTTAGCTGAACAGTAAGATTATCAGGGCTATTATTTCCTTTTATCTGTTTTGGAAACATGAAAGTGTCCTGAGTAGAATAGTGAGTTTAACTAAACTATGTTCTTTAACCTCTTCGTCGCCCATAACGCGTCTAGCGCGTTCAAGTGAAACTCCTGCAGGGCGGCCGTAACGCGCTTCAAGCGTTGTTCTACATTTTAAAGCCTTCAAACGTTTTAAAACGCTTCTAATGTTACGTGTTTGAGTTTTTTTTTTTAAGAGAATCTTCAATAATTTGGCTAGAGTTTGTACACAATCAAGCAGTTCTTTTTCAAAATGCTGCAAAACTTATTCCCGAAGGTGATAAAATTTCGGCCATTTTAATTGAAGTAGCAAATGAAGTTAATAATTTAAAATTCCAGTGTCAAGAGCGGTTAGAAAATTCCAGTGTCAAGAGCTTTTGTTACCCCCCTGCCAAAAATTACGCACCAAATCTGGCACTCCCTACAGACGTTTTAGGGTTGCTGTTTCTTATTTTGGTGTTGCCATTTAGGTTTTTTAATTTAGGTTTTTTGCTGTTGCCAAATTTAGTATTTTCTTGTATTTTGTACCATTTTTTTAGTTTTTTTTTTTTTTTAAAGTTTTGTGGCAACAATTTTTGGATTTCATATATGTTTTACCGCCATTTCCATTTTCTTTGTGAAGTGATCAGGCGGATTTCTGACTTGCTGTATTTTGCTGCAAATCTGGTTGTATTTTCCAATTATATTTTTTTTCTATTAATTATTTTTATCTTTTAGCTTTCAATATGCCTACTGTATATAGTGTTGTTGAAACGTTTCAGGGAATTTTGAGTCGGAAAATTGATAGTTGTGCTTCATTTTCGTCGGGTAGGCCGACAGTTGGAAGGCCAGGTATTGTTAATTGTTTATTTTTGCATCATTTGGCTCAGGATATGCAGATGTTAATTGATTTTTTAATAGAGGTTGGATTGTTGAAGGCTGCAGTGTGTAAGAAATGGGGGTCTGGTATGAACTAGAAGTTGAAGAAGTCGTATTCGGATGGATTTGTGTATGTTTGTCGCAAAATGGTAGATAGTAATCAGTGCAACACTGAAATGTCGGGCATAATAAGGCATAATTCTTGGTTTTCGAAGTCTAAGCTTAAGTTGTTTGAGGTTTTGTTGATCACGTATGAGATTTTGAGAGGCACTAAGACAGGTAGGATTGCGGAGGAGTATGGTTTCTCTAGTACTACTTTAGCAGATTGGAGGCAATTCATTAACGAGACCATTTTGAATTATATTCAGGAGAATTCTGAGAAGGTAGGTGGGGATGGTGTTGTTGTGAAAATAGATGAGTCGAAGTTTGGCAAAAGGAAGTACAACAGGGGTCATAGTGTTGAAGGTCAGTGGGTTTTTGGTGGTGTTGAAAGGGGATCAGGTAAGGTTTTTCTAGTTGCTGTGCATGATAGGTCTCAGGAGACGTTGTTGTCGCTAATTAAGGAATGGATTAAGCCAGGTACGTCTGTTTTGTTCTGATTGTTGGAAAAGTTATGATTGTTTAACGGATGAGGGTTTTGATCATTTAAAGGTAAATCATTCTTGTAATATTTGTAGACGCCGATTCCGGGTGTCATACAAATACAATTGAAAGTACGTGGAGGCATGTTAAAGCTTCTTTGCCTACGTACAATCGCAAGGCAGATTATAAATTTTACCTCGCGATGTACATGTTTCGTAAATCATGTTTAGCGGCTAATGTTGATTGTTTCAATAAATTTATTAAAATTGCTGCTGGGGTAAATTGGGAGGAATTCAAAATTTCTGTATAAGTAATTCTTTTTATTAGATTGCCACACGTATTTTCAATTGTATTTGTTAAAATTTTTGTGTAAATTGTATATGATATGTTATTCAGTGTCATTTATTTGTATTTTTTATGTATTCATTGTATTTTAATGATTCCGTATTTTTTATTTATTAATTATTTGTATTTAGCGAGAATCCATCTTGGCGAGAAAAAAAAGACGCCAAAAACAGGTATTTTGCTTGGCGAGAAAAAAACTCGCCAAATTTCCGATTTGGGGGAGGTATATCAAAGTAGTTCCTGAGTTTGTGAATTGGAAAGACAAGAACGATATACGTTTGATAAGTACAGTCCATAATAACTCGTTGATTGATGTTGAAACACGGAAAATAACTGTAAAAGAACCAATAATTTTAAGAGATTACAACAACAAAATGGGAGGAGTGGACCTGCCTCGATCAGATGTTATCAAATTGTCTTGGTGTTAGAAATAAGAAGAGATATTATTACTCTTCCATTATGTTTTATTTCCTTATAATTTTACTTAATATTTATTTACATTCGTCCACTACGAAAGTTAGGTATGGAAAGTTATGATGTACAGAGAAAACAACATTACACGCTGCGAAAAACAGAGAGCCGTTGAGGAGAAATTTTCGCGGATAGGAGAGGACGGCAAAAGAGTTAAACTGTAGGAGAGTTGACAAGAAAGTGGAAAGACTTAACTACAATTTATTCTTCACAATTCACAGGTGCTTCGGTACTTCGGGGTACAAAGACCACCACTTATGATCTGAATGTAAGAAAATAAGAACTAAATTTAAATAAAAGCTAAACTTGAATACTAAGATTACTTGAATACTAATCTACACAGAATAGTAATACTAAGATTTGGCCTTTTAGATGTCTACGTATGTAGTACGCAGAATGCTGGAAAACTGCAATACGTCTTCAATATCAAGAGGACTAAACCTCTGGCCTTAAAGGCGGACAGCAACTGACTGAAAGCAGGCATGAGATAAAAATGTAGCGAGAAAGCCCTGTGTAACAGCTTTAAATATTATTAAAATCTTGTAGTTTAAATAATATAAATAGATGAACATTAAGGTATTTGTGAATGGCAATATTTGAAACCAGACTCGAGTGCCACGTGCGAATCTCGCACGAAGAATGTAATTTATTTTTAAATGTTAGTATTCTTTTGGTGCTACTTTGGTAGACGGTTGCACGGATTTTTGGCGATTTACGTCGGCCGAATTGTTGGCGCGATTTTTACAAACGTCAGCCATCTTGAAAAACGCTGTTTTTACGCAGTAAAGTATTCGAAACTTTCAAAAAAATAAATAAATAAATAAATAAATATCACTAAAAGTAATGGATTAATTTTTTGTTGAAAATGTCGTTTTTTAAGAGGCAGGCAAATGTAAAAAATAATTACTATGAGTATGAAATACTAAGTAAGGTTATTATTACTTTTCATATAGCAAAGAAGAGAATAAACACACCGCATAAAAACATTGGGCCAACGTTTAATTAGATTAAAATATTATGAAATTGAATATCGAATTAAAAAACCATACCAACATTTAAAGAATTAGAATATTGTTAAATTCAATACTTTAAAATACGTATATAGAATATAATTAACATTAAAACTATGGAAAATAATTATCTCAGCAATTTCTGAAAATAGTGCATTAATTTTTTTAACAAAAATTGAAGTATACATTATCAAATAAAAGAAAAATATGTCTACATTTTTTAGAGTATTTAACCTGTTGTTTTGATAAGTACCATAAAAAATCAGAATCATAATTTAGATAACATCTTTGAAGGAATTCGAAGATATGAATTCATTTTAAAACGGCGCGGAAATGCACAAATTTCAGTAACCAATCAGGGAGCTGATTAACAGCTCGTTAATGCACAAATATTCTATAACCAATAGAGAGGCTTATTACTCACAGCTAGAACTAAAATTATTTAAAACTTCATACATAATAAAATCATTTTTTTAAAAAATGCAAAATTAAATTGTATTTTATATTTAACAGCCATAAATAATGTTTAAAACAATGGATTAATTTATACGTATTAAGCGAAACTTTTAAAGTAGGTGACGTCATTGATTAATCATCCCAACATAAAATTTCATAAATATGATAAACAATAAATTTTTATTTCAAATAAAAATGCAAATTAAAATTGATTTTTAATTTAAAGCCATAAATAATATTTTAAACACGGAACTTATGCACAATAAAACGCATATATTTTAAATAAAATGACAACAAAGTATCGGTTACCATAAATAACTTATCCAGCAATGGGTTTACTATAAGTTGTATTACTCGCCAAAGGAAAATCACCAAAAAATCGCCAAAATCCGTGCAACCGTGTACCAAAGTAGCACCATTTTTTTTTCTTCTTGTTTGTATGTCGCCTTTTTGAGTGTTAAATAAAAGTTATTGCTTTGTTCCACCATTGGAGTTGCTTCATATCGCCAAAGAAGCATCACAGTCTTAATTATTTTGGAGGCACCGACGAGATCGAATAATAGTGCGTATTTTTATTTTATTAGTTCATCATTGAACATAATATTAGTGATACCAGATTATTACTTCCTGTTCATTTAGAATTGCTTTATTTTATTAGTTCATCACTGAACGCAATATTAGTGATACCAGATTATTACTTCCTGTTAATAATAAATTGTCTTATTTTATTACCGTATTTGATATTATATTTAATATTCATTTTAGTTGTCCAGACGGTAGATATATATATTGCTCTATGTTATTATTCTATGTTATTAATCACAATTAATGGGTAGAGAGATGAACTTCTATATTTAAATATTTCATTTTTTGAGGTATACGTACTTAACAAAGTGCATTTAATTTCGTGATTCCTGATGCATTAATTAATTAAAGTAATTGAATTGAGCTATTTTGAGGAAATATAAGAACGCAGTGTTCGTTAATTTTAAACATAGAAACAATGTCTTACTTAGGAAGAGCTCGTAAGGAAGATTTGCAAAATCTCGCGCTGAACTGGGAGTTCATGTGATGCAGATTTGAAATAGTGGATTTAAAACAGAAAATGTTTGAAAGTAGAGATTATGATGAGTCTCGTCAAAGGAATCTTAGACACAATATAAAAGAACGGAAGAGAGGATAAAAGAGAGAACGGAAAAGGTGGAGAAAGAAAAATGAAAGAGAGGAGGAAAGGGAAAGAGAGGAAAGGGAAAAGAAGAATACAGGAAGAAGCAGAGACAAAGTCTCAAAATACCGGCAGATCTTCGTCCTTATGCAGAAATTCGATGACAAGAAAGGAGTATCAGATTTGCTATGTTTGAGAGGACAAGCAGAATGGGCTAAATTGATAAAGAAGAATTGTATCTCATTTACTAGGATACTTCCTTACGAAGTAACCCAGTTATAGATAGAGAACCCCGATAAA